CTCTATAACAAATTTGTCGGACATTCATAACCTGGTTTTTGGTGCCTTTTCCACTCACAAAACTAGCCTGTTCCCAGTCTAATATGTTTCTATGTCTCTGCAATAGGATCCTGAGCATGAGCTTCCTTGGATGAAAAATCAATTCTATAGTTCTATAGATCCTTTTTTATGCAACGTGATGAGAGTAGAGGTACACCAATCGGTTGGCCACTATCCTGTCTGCCAAATTCAATTACAGAATTTCCATAAGAGATCGATACTTTCCCGGGAAGATGTTTGAGCATTTCTGCATTTATGTCATACTCATACTCATACATCCTCAATTAATAGAGGAACCTCGAGCTATTCTACTTATTTGTATAAGTTAATGCAATGTTTCGTCGAACTTGCATGACTTTTTCTATTTAAGTGACCACTGCTTCGTTCTCATCATCTACCGAGCATATTTTTGGCTCAATTTTTCTTGTGATCTCTTCAATACATTTAAATAGATCTAGTGAGTTATTTTTTTATTTTATTTCATTTACTATTTGTTTTTTACATTTGTTTTTAAGTTATTTAACTGTAATAAAGTTTCTTCGAGTTGTTTTGAAGCTTGGCCACATTTCCTCCGCATTGGTATAATTAATGTTTCTGCTTGGAAGGAAACCTAAATTTGATGCAATTCTATATTTCTATATTTCCCTTTAGGAACGGATACGTGCATTTTTATTTTTGCTAAAACATGATCGCTTGCGAACTTTTGTCCAGGTAAGGTTTTGACATTATTGACACTACCATCTACCACGAACTAATATGTAGTCTATTTTGGATGATGAAGGAACAGTTAGTTATAACCATGTTATCTTCTATACATAACCCTACAAATTTTTGACCATCTTTTCCTTTTACCCAGGCGTATCTTCCGATGAGTTGTTTGATATGTGCGTCTTCTTCAGTTTGTCCGTTTTTTGCTTTAAAATCACCTTGAATAAGTGTTACTTCTTTAATGTTTATTAGTTATTTTTCAAAATTAATATAAAATTGTGCGATTTCTTCTTCAGGAATAGATCTGAACGATATTTGAATTGCATGCTTTAGCATTAATTTTCATAGTCCTTATTCCAGAATTGGCGGGATTTTAGTTTGTTTGATGGCTTGATAAATATATTGTATTGCCAGTTTTGGAAGTAAAATGTCTATGACCGGTCCAGTGTTTCATAAGCCTACTACATCAATACTGGTAACTTCTAATTCGATGATGGGTACAGAGACCCTTTCCGTGTCGCTATTGAAACACATCTGCGGCTGGTTTTTTAGGTACTAATTGGGTGTTTCTTTTGTTAGGTATGTTCACAATGTTCCCCTGATATCTTTCACGATGAGACAATCCATAGGATTTTCTTAAAAAACACACTAGAGGTAGTTTCCCATTGCTTTCCTCTAGGACCAACTGCTGGGGGTAAGGGTAGGATTAAGGTTTAAAAAAACATAAGGTTTGGGATATGACCTTCCCTTGGAGAGCGCAGGAGCGCATTCCTGAAACAGATCTATCTCCCATCGGGATCATGAGAGAGTATCCACAGACCAAATTGTCATCTTAAACAAATTATATGTTATTATTATTACATATTTTTTATTAATTTTACTTTAGTTATAGCTATAACGTTCTATATAATACCATTCCAGAAATTATATTAATTGAGCACTCTGGATACAAATAATTTTATGATTTGCTTGTTTTTAAATGTTAAATTCAACTTTAACTTTAACTTACGTAGCTGAATACTTTCTAGATAATTGAAACAGACGAAATATTTGATTCCAATACATTTAGCAATTTTGGGATATCTCAAAAGGAAAACATTGTTCTGAAAGTTGTTTTTGCTTAAACAACGTGCGAAATTCGCCACAGGTTCATTTTTACCCCTTGCTTTGCGTACGACGGAAATCAATCTTTGATTAGTATTTAGTAAGAAGAATTTCAAAAAAATAATTGACATTCTTGATAATAGTATATCCACAATATGGAATGTAATATTTCATCCAGAATAATGGAATAGAAAGATGTTTAAAACAACTACCTAAAGCTTTCCTTCACTCAAAAAATGAAGCTAAACCTGAGGACTGAACTCAGCGGCATGCGATGGCCAATATCCTGCAAGTAAGCGTAGAAACTAACTCAATCATCACAATTTCTCCACAGAGCGTTTGTCTAGCAAATTTACCATATTTCATTTCTACCGGTTCAGAAAATAATTTTAAATCATCATTAGGGAATCATCTTAACAGCCTGAAAACGAAAATATTTCGGACCCTACTTTTTAAGAACCTTTATTTCTATAGTAGGCCAGAGAATAATTTGCTAAAATATTGACGTGTAATTTTTACGCACTTTATGGAGGTTCGCCGTTAATCTTCTAAAGTCTAAAGAGCTATCAGGAAATGCTAGAAGCACAAGATTTTGGCTTTTTGAAATCTCTCAAAATAGTAGAAAAGTAGTTATACCGAGTGTCCGAAAAATATAACCCCATCCTTTTTTTTAACAGTACATCCTCTATAATAATCAATAATCTGCTAATAAACCCACCATACGCCAAAACTTAACTGTTCTATCTACCTAGATAGATATTTTTAGATTATTTTTAACTATAGTTTCAGTCAAGCAAGGAGCGGTTCAGTTATATTTGAACATTAGGCTCAAAACTTCAAATTTGGCCTCCTTGTTCCGAAATTCCCGACAACTTTGTTATTCACGATATTAACGCGAATTGGCTTCATTGGATCGGTTCGGTTGCCTTGAGATTGTACGGTATATGCATAGTCTGTCGCCGCAAACATTGAGGCTTAGTGTGTAAGTAGCGAGGCATCCGCTCGGAGGCACGAGGAAAACCCCAACACGAAGGAGCTTATGCTGTTATAAATCTCGGATTCTACCGCTTCAGAGATCTGAATATTGCCTCGCGCGGCTGTATGTGTATAGATAGCTTATAAGAAAAGATTTAGTTACACAAATAACGCCGCCTAATGAATTAATCCCTATAGAATATTTGATGGTAAATATATAATTATTAACAATGGTGATCGGTCTACTCTCCGTTCTAAAATACCATTTCGGAAGTTTCCGGCCCTTGATAGGATAAAATTTTGCCATTTGTCAGTTATAAAGCCACACATCAGTGAGTGAATGTATTCGTGCTGTTTTGTAAAAATGTAACCAATCCTCTACTCTCCGCTCGTGCAAAATTAAACTCGAAACTAAACTGGCGTATATCAAACTTATTGCGTAATATACTATACTAAATAGTTGCTTAATTGCCATATAGTGCAGCTGACTATTGCGGGATTCCACGTAAAAGTAAAATTTAAATTATAAAAGTTCTTTCAGTACATGCAATGCAAATAGTTGCTATTATACAGTGTATCACAAGTATATTGTAATTTTTGAGAAAATTTGATGGCAAAGATTTCACTACACTTAATCCTAATAGTTTCCTAGAAACGGAAACACAGGAATCGTCTTTTCTGATTTACTATTGGGAATTGAGTTATCGCTTACAAGGTATCCAAAATTTACCAATTGCATCAAATTCAACGCTGCAGAACCTCCAGGCAATATTCCTGCAAGATGCAATGCAAAGTTTGATTCTATATCGATTCGCTATGCATTTCCATATAACCGTTTTCAGCGGTTATGTTGTTACTTCAAATTTTTTATCAAGAGTTATATCTACTTGGCGTTGAGTTTGACAATACATTTTTGTGGTTTTATTTATATGAAAGGGGTTGAGAAATTGTAGAGCTAACCAGTTAGATATAATAATTTGATGCCCCTGGAACTGTAAATTTTGAATGATTATAAGATTATTGGTAACACAGCGGCCCTTTTATCATTTTTGTTAACTGTTGATAAACGCTTATGCCAGATGGGGAGATGAAAGGAATCGCTATTACCAATTTGACAATTGGGAGCGTAAAATTTGTTGACAGATCACGTTGCCTGCAAAAATAAAATATCTTTTTATTAATATAATAATTCAGCATTCGTTGGCTTTACCTATTTTAAACGATTTTCTTGTTATTGCATATTTTTGAAATCAAAATAAAAACGAATTAACACAGGAAGTAAGTAATATGAAATTGTGGTAAATGAAATTATTATAATAATTGCTTCTAAACGACAGCACTTTTGCCCCAACAATGAATGAACTTCAATTATCTTTTACGTAATGAACGTTTCGATGTGCATCTGGATTCCGGCCTGCGGTACACTAGTTCTTTCATGCAGCCACAGAGTTTTAAATCCAAGGGCTACAAATGAGGTGATCCAGATGGCCAGTTTCAAACTGGGTTAAAATCAATGCAAATTAGAAAGAACTTTGGAGTCAAATAACAACAAAAAGTTGCAAATTGGTATTTGCAAAGGCACAGTCAATTCAAATAAAACTAAAGTCTGCATACAATAATATGTGAAGGAAGTCGTATTTGATATTTGATTTTGCTTATTTAAAATTGTTTGCACCATAAAGCGACACGAACTCAAATATGGTTAGAAGGTGTAGTGTTTAAAATAATTTTAAATCTTGCAAAATAGTTAAGTTATTCACCTATCAGGATTAAACATGGAGTTTTTGAATTTAAAAGGAATAAGTTAAATAAACTCTTATGAAGATATAAGAGAATCGCGCAGTAATGAGCGACCCTGCTTGTTTGAAGTTTTCTCCACTGTTCTTGGCCATTAGTTTTGTATATTATAAGACGTCCTTTAACATTTTATATATGTATATTTGATATACTCTTCAATCCTCTTTCGACGATCTAATTAATATACTATAACATTTTGTTCAATCTACAATAGCAAATAATGCTAGTGTGCAGAATGAGATAATTTCATGCAATTTTGTTAATCATCCATCGATATCCATTTCATCACCGCCGCAAAAATCCACAGCCGAAATAAATTGCGAATAAAAAACTATCGAAAATGTAAAATTTTTAATGCGCGTCGTTTTAATTTTCAGTACGGGATCGAAGCGGATCGGCGATCGAAAATCCTACGAACATTTGTCCGGAACACGTACAGTTATCATTTGAGCGAAATCCTCGCGACGATTGTTAACGAGTATACGGATTGGGAAAGGCCCGTCCAACATCCGATCAATATAAGGGACGAAACTTTGGAAGCCCTTTCTGACGCACAATACGTCGCCCCGGTTGTCCACACAGCCGATCTCCATTCTGCGGAACATCGAAACTCTTACCTTTATGTCTTCGATTATCAAACAAAATTTGGAGACTATCCGCAGGTACGTAGCGAAAACTATTTTGGAAAACTATATATTTATGAATATATATATATATATATATATATATATATATATATATATATATATATATATATATATATATATATATATATATATATATATATATATATATATATATATATATATATATTTGAATTCAAAGGATATCGGGTAGCGGTCCGTGGTTAAAATAGAAAGCTCTTTTTTTCTTTAACACTCAATATTTCGTCAATTTATTTGTTGACTTCTTCAGGAGTGAACTAAAATTTAATGAAAACAACAGGTCAAACTATATAACAGACAATTAAAACAATCGTGAGAAATACTTACAAAATTAGAGTCTACCACATAGTTCCTCAAAAATCATACTTTACAGTTAAGGTAAATGAACGAAGCGACATAATGAAACAAACGGATAAACACTTAGTATACAATTCTTAATAATGGTAGGCAAAAGTTGCGCTAACGGGGGTAGCGAAAAAAACAAAAAAAAACAATAAAAAAAAAACAATCGATCTAAATAATGACAAAAAAAGGGCATCAAAATAACCTACTCCGTGGATCAACAACGCAACGCGAATACGCTACTCGGTGGCCGAACATTACATTATCTGTGGTTTAACTGAAAAATGTTACAGTATATATTGCTTATTTGTTGTGTATCAGACTTGTAATTAATTGAATCTTTGTTTTTGTTAATATGGCACATTTCAAGAAACAATCGGGCTTTATAATTATTGACACATTACAAAATTTTTGGATTGCCGTAGTCAAATTCATGTCCTGTTTTTATGTAATGCTCAACCACTGCACAAGTATTCTTATGAATACGGCAATCACTTTTGTGCTGTGTTAAACGTTGTTTTAACCACTGTGAGGTCTGTCCAATATAACAGCCTTGACAACCCAAACACGACAATCGATATATGACATTACATACATATATATATATATATATATATATATATATATATATATATATATATATATATATATATATATATATATACATATATAGTAGCGGAGTTGGATCTTTCACTCTAGAAAAAAGTTTAGAGACTTTTTCAGTATTATATTTAGCAATTTTTATTTCCTTGAATTCTTTGAAAATATTTATGATAGATTCTGTGAGGTTTTTAATATAAGGTATCTTTCTGTAACACATCCGAGCGTCTGGTTCCTCTGTTGGACCGTCAAATGTGTTGGAGTTATAGATTAATCTCTTAAGTATATGTTTTGGATATCCGTTATTGACAAAAACGTTGAAAATTTTTTTCAGGTTATTTTGAACAAAACTGTCATGGCTCAAATGTGTAACCCTGTTTTTTATGCCTATAATTGTATTATATTTTTGGTTCTGTGGATGAGAGGAATAATAATTAATAAATCTACCTGAGGCAGTTTCTTTCTGGTACCAATCCAAAATAATTTCATTTTTGTTAGTTCTAATAACCTTGGTATCTAAGAAGGGGACATAGGAGTCTTTTTCATGTTCAATTGTGAATTGTAGGTTGGTGTTGAAAGAATTAAAAATACTCAAGGTTATATCTGTTTGGTCACATGGTACCGCACAAAGAAGATCGTCAACATATTTATAAATAAAAGGTAATTTGAAAGGTAATTTGGGTATAATTTGATCTAGTAAATGGTCCAATACTAGGGTAGCAATTATTGGACTAATGGGAGAACCCATTGGGGTACCAAAAATTTGTTTGTAGAATTTTGAATTGAAACTAAAATAGGTGTAATCAAAAATAAATTTTATAAGTTTGAAAAAATTTGTCTTTGTAAGATTAGTGTGTTCTTTTATCTTTTTCCATTCATTATCCAAAATCTGATTTACCAATTCGAATTGGTAAATCAGATTTTGGATAATGAATGGAAAAAGATAAAAGAACACACTAATCTTACAAAGACAAATTTTTTCAAACTTATAAAATTTATTTTTGATTACACCTATTTTAGTTTCAATTCAAAATTCTACAAACAAATTTTTGGTACCCCAATGGGTTCTCCCATCAGTCCAATAATTGCTACCCTAGTATTGGACCATTTACTAGATCAAATTATACCCAAATTACCTTTCAAATTACCTTTTATTTATAAATATGTTGACGATCTTCTTTGTGCGGTACCATGTGACCAAACAGATATAACCTTGAGTATTTTTAATTCTTTCAACACCAACCTACAATTCACAATTGAACATGAAAAAGACTCCTATGTCCCCTTCTTAGATACCAAGGTTATTAGAACTAACAAAAATGAAATTATTTTGGATTGGTACCAGAAAGAAACTGCCTCAGGTAGATTTATTAATTATTATTCCTCTCATCCACAGAACCAAAAATATAATACAATTATAGGCATAAAAAACAGAGTTACACATTTGAGCCATGACAGTTTTGTTCAAAATAACCTGAAAAAAATTTTCAACGTTTTTGTCAATAACGGATATCCAAAACATATACTTAAGAGATTAATCTATAACTCCAACACATTTGACGGTCCAACAGAGGAACCAGACGCTCGGATGTGTTACAGAAAGATACCTTATATTAAAAGCCTCACAGAATCTATCATAAATATTTTCAAAGAATTCAAGGAAATAAAAATTGCTAAATATAATACTGAAAAAGTCTCTAAACTTTTTTCTAGAGTGAAAGATCCAACTCCGCTACTATATAACTGTAATGTCATATATCGATTGTCGTGTTTGGGTTGTCAAGGCTGTTATATTGGACAGACCTCACAGTGGTTAAAACAACGTTTAACACAGCACAAAAGTGATTGCCGTATTCATAAGAATACTTGTGCAATGGTTGAGCATTACATAAAAACAGGACATGAATTTGACTACAGCAATCCAAAAATTTTGCAATGTGTCAATAATTATAAAGCCCGATTGTTTCTTGAAATGTGCCATATTAACAAAAACAAAGATTCAATTAATTACAAGTCTGATACACAACAAATAAGCAATATATACTGTAACATTTTTCAGTTAAACCACAGATAATGTAATGTTCGGCCACCGAGTAGCGTTGTTGATACACGGAGTAGGTTATTTTGATGCCCTTTTTTTGTCATTATTTAGATCGATTGTTTTTTTTTTTTGATTGTTTTTTTTTTGTTTTTTTCGCTACCCCCGTTAGCGCAACTTTTGCCTACCATTATTAAGAATTGTATACTAAGTGTTTATCCGTTTGTTTCATTATGTCGCTTCGTTCATTTACCTTAACTGTAAAGTATGATTTTTGAGGAACTATGTGGTAGACTCTAATTTTGTAAGTATTTCTCACGATTGTTTTAATTGTCTGTTATATAGTTTGACCTTTTGTTTTCATTAAATTTTAGTTCACTCCTGAAGAAGTCAACAAATAAATTGACGAAATATTGAGTGTTAAAGAAAAAAGGAGTTTTCTATTTTAACCACGGACCGCTACCCGATATCCTTTGAATTCAAATAAGTTTAGTACGGTCGATATAAGAAGAAATTCCAAGTGTTATATATATATATATATATATATATATATATATATATATATATATATATATATATATATATATATATATATATATATATATATATATACATATATGGAACATGGGAAAATGGGACATGATCAAACTTCACACAGACATTCCAGTAGACGAATTCGTGGAAGCCATAAAATTAACTCTAAATTCGACCTATTTTATATATAGTATTCATATAAATATTACAAATATTACAAGCAGATTGATGGTTATGCCATGGGTGCTTCTATTTCGAGTGTAATTGCGCAACTTGTTCTCGAAGACCTAGAAAAAACCGTTATTGACAAAATGACTATTTTCTAGCAATACCTATAGATAAGGGCGATCTCATTTTGAATAGTTTTAACTCATATCACACAAAAATAACATTTACTATACAATATGAAAAAGATGACAAAATTAACTTCTTAGACATGACACCAATATGCAAGAAAAACAAAATCAGAACGGTGTGGTACACAAAAGATACATAGTCTGGACGATACCTTAATTCCCACTCCCAACACCCAATATCACAAAAATAGACTGTTATTATCAGGTTGACTGACAGAGGTATTAATCTATCTGATCCAGAGTACAGAAAAGAAGCTATATATAAGGCTAAAACGAATCAAGTACCCAATTGCCTTAATTAACTCTATTTTTAAAAAAAGGATACATAAATTCTACAACAATATTTCTGTTAAGGAAAACACACAACCATCAAAAAGAGAATATTGTTCGTTGCCATACATACCAAATTTATCGGAAAAAATCTCGAATGTGTTTAAGGGAAACTCAGTAACAATCTGTCACTAGGTTCAAAATTTGTTAAATAGGAATTTCAGTAAACTGAAAACATCAATACCCAAAGATAAAAAAGTCACATTGTGTATCAAATACCATACAACGACTGCGATGGAGTGTACATTGGACAGACTAGCCAACTATAGAAGAATCGCATCAATGGCCATAAGTACGACAAAAAACAAAACAGCCATCAGCAGCCATATAAAGGAGAAAACACATACTTTTAACTTCGATGACACAAAAATACTTGCTACAGAACCAAACACACAAAAAACGGAAATAATTGAGATGATACATATTCATAGAAATAAAAACTCGATAAACGCGAAAACCAACATAAAACACCTGAGTGAAACCTATTTCGAATTGTTAAAGTAAACCATTTTAATGCTCAGACGCTCCACCGTGTATCAGTAGGTCTTAAACTTAAACTTACAAACGTACACAAATAAATAAATAAAAACTAAGAGGAAAAAAAAAAGTCATCAGATACAATGAATGTTTATTTTCCACTTCTATTTTTGATTCGTACGCCAAAGCAAGAACGTTATCGTTTTTGGCAATGATGTAGCAATGATGTGAACAACGCTAACAATAGACATTTTAAAAAAATTAAATAATTTGTGAGTATGACTAAAGAAAATATACAAGGGTCCAAGAAAAGCATATTT